ATATTCATTTATTTGGGCAGAGCTTGTCTGCTGAATGCATTCTAACGATCCTTACATGAACCAGATCAATAAAATAGATTCATGTGTTAATGTTTTCTGTTTACAGTGCCTTATTCTTTTTTTAAAAAGGTTTGTTTGTTATTGACCGTGTAGGATGCAACGAAACAAAGGGCAATTTACATCATCAAAACCCAATCAGGATGAGTCAGCAACAGCTTCTAATTGGGACTCATCCCAGAGATGGGCTTCAAATGGAGGCGGATCTCAAATTCAAAATCAAGAGATTTTGTAAGCATTAAGTACAACATGCCTCTTATGCTAGTTGCACATAGTGGTGAAGTTGCAGTTTCTTGAGCATTCATTCTATTTTTGGTGAATAGCACTATTACTGGTGGTTTGTGTGAGTCAAACCGTATTCCAGGAAATAATTAGATGGTTAACAATTTGCATGTATTTGGATTTAGTAAAGGGCCATGCTCAATTAGCCAAACTCAAGCAAATTTCGGCCTGATTTAGGAATAAAAGTCGTGTACTAAAACTTGATGATTATTTATTCAAATTAAGATAAGATTCAAGGTTTCAAACCTTAGAAAAATAACATATGATATTTCAGATTTTAGAAGACTAATATAGAGTTAGTTAAAATCTAGTTTCTCCATCCCAAAGCCAACTTCTCATTTTAAAGAAAGACAAGTTCTCTTTCAATAATTCAACCCTTTACGCAATTACCCCACTTTTTTCATTAAAGTTCTTGGCTCCTAATTTTTTTTAACCAAAAGCACAAATTTTATTCACCAACTTCGAAGTTAAATACAACGTAGATATCAGATCGTTCTATATTGTATAAAGCATTTGCTATAAAACAAAAAATAATTAATTGTCTCCTCTTCCTTGAACTTTTTTTGATGTAGATGCCCATTTCTAGCTCTCCAAATACCGTAGCTACATGCTGCCCAAACCGCAAGCATAATAAATCTGGCTTTCCTATTTTTAATCCGCATAATCTCATCTCCCTCTTCACTGATGAAATTCTCAAACACAGCATTGCACGCTTTCTTAGCATATCCGCATTGCCTAAGAAGAGGGTTATCAGTTTCTGGGTCCTGCACACACAAACTACAGTTGGTGTCAATATTTAGAAACATGCTTAATCTCTCCATTTAGGAATAGCTTTCTCTCCTTGTAGCCATGCATATTTATCTTTAATCTCATAGGTATTGTCTATTGGCATATCCGTAAAAGTCGCACCCTTATCATTTCTTTCCAATAGTGTCAAAATCAGTTTTTGGAATGTATTCCCAGAATTTGGAACTGGAAGTTTATTTTGGTATAGAGTAAGTTTTAATAAACCATTTATAGATCTCGTGTGACTAGCTGACAAGCATATGACTTGCATTGATAGATTCATTATGTATCACCACCAGAGAAATTGCTTAATGAAGAAAAAGGAAAGAAGTTGTAGGTGGAGAGTAATATTATCTTTTTTGTACTCATGGCAGCTGCCGGCACTGTGCTATCAGTGAGAAATCAACCCCAATGATGCGACGTGGACCAGAAGGGCCCAGGACCCTTTGTAATGCCTGTGGGCTAATGTGGGCAAATAAGGTGATCACCACCCTCTTTGATCCCATCTCATCTTTGATGTGCCTTTATATATAATCCTTGGACACCAAATTAGTGTGTACTGATATGAGGCTTATAAAATTTTGATCATTTTAGGGCCAACATATCAATTCTTCTCATTTTATTTGATTAAATGTCAAAAGTTACTTAGGATTTTGACTGGTTTGCTTTTTATTTGACTAATTCCGCAGAATACTAATTTTCACATTAAAACTTTACATATGAGGTGTGTAATCTTTTTAAAATTGTGTGCAAATCAATTGTTTTCGTTAATTTCCAAAGATTCACTACTTTTTGGCTTTGGGGTTTGATAGAATAAAGCAAATTGGCTCTTTAAACTGTTTGTGCTTATCGCAATTGTGAAGTAGCAGTTAGTCGATGCAACTTTTGACGCTCATCATGGGTAATCTGAAAACAACCGCTCTATGTTTTAATGATAGGGGTCAGAATGCGTACACCCGACCCCCCCTTACCCCGCAATGGGCGGGAGCCATTAAGGCATTGGGGTAATGTTGTTATTGTTGTTGTTGTATAAAGTATATCATACTCCGTCTAATACAAGGTATTGTACAATTTACGTATCATTTTGCATAATACGAAATGCCCCCCTAATACATTGGATCGAACTTCAATGCTCCAAGGTTGGATGGTACCCGTCCAGGTGCTTGACCACTAGATCAGGTTGTGAAGGACGCCATATTTCCAACATGGGTGGCTCAAAACCATGAGCCAAACTATTCTGGCGCTACCCAATTCAGGAGCATCGACCAAACCATGATGCCATCTCTGCTCATTGCTGTCCGATATCTCACATGTTTGTCTCACTGTGTTGACTGCTGCAGGGAACTCTGAGAGATCTTTCTAAGACACCGCCGCCGCTGCCACCACCGCTAGGGCATGGCTCATCCCTTCACCAAAGCGAAGAGGTAGCCATTAGCCAATGTAGTGTTTTCGTCAAGAGTTGCTCTGGGTACCCTCCCGCTATTTCCTTGCCTGTTTCTTATATCTTTTCTTTCATTTCAGAATGGAAATGTGGAGGCTGCTCAAGCTATTAGAGAAGTTGAAAATGGAAATGATTCACACTGAATTTTTCCACTGTTTGAAACCACAATGATTGTATGATAGGTAGGACTTTGGCTTGGTCTTTGAAGCCCCTTGCTCTTTCCATATACGAATGACCAGTCATTTCATGCCGGCTTAAGTTTCTGTTCACTTAGCTTTGGTGATTTCTTCTTCTGTATCATATTGATGGCGAATCTCAGCTGAGTGTACTATAGGTCTTCTCACATCCATAGAAATTCAACTCCATTTTCCAATGTATTTTATTTGAACATATCTGAGTTTCAAAGCTAGTCTGGTGTTCATGTAAAGTTTGCTTTTGGTTCAAATAATAAATGTGAAATGATTCCTATTAAGGAAAGTGAATGTAGTTTTCTTAGACATGATGAAATATTTGGCTTCATGAAATTTAAGAAATGTAGAAAAGTAAAAATTTGGTAGTTGAAATCTAATTAGGAGAAAAAAATTGTCACTCGTGTATTTTTTATTTCTAAATGAAATAGCATTCCTGGAACTAGACCACTTACCTATATAGTAGTTAGGACTACGTCATTTTTCTAACCAAATACGTAATACTTGGTCCGTCCCTGAGTGTTTGTTCACTTTTGACTTTTGGAAATGTTCATCTAAACACTTTGACTCATCAGATTCTCTCAATGTGTAAGCCTAAATATAGTCATGTGTGATCTTGTTTGATTCGTCTTAACATATAGATTATTAATATATAATTTTTAATTTTTTAATATACAAATTACAAGATAAAATGAATTAAAGAAGTGCATTGGATGGTGTGCAAAAATGAAAGTAGACAAACAATCAGGGACGGAGGGAGCATAACTTAAAAAAGTTACCTAATTAAGAATAAAAATTGGGGGTGAAACTTTAACATCTAAGTTCAATGTTTCAAAAATATGATCCAACAAAACTTTTAGCATTAACATTTTTAAAATTAATCGAAAACTACTTTTGGTAGATTCTTCCGTGGACCTCAGATCCATGCTAATTTTATACTTCTTTTATCCCTGAAAATATTTCTCTAATTTTTTTTTCATCCGTCTCAAAAAATATTTCTTATTTATATTAAAAAGTTAATTTTATCCCTTATTTTTTCATACTCTACCTATTACATCATATCTTTTTACTAATAACCTTTCAATCAAATCATATTTTTATCCATCAAATCAATAGACTTTTTGAAATTAAATACCAAAATACATTTATCTTAAATTTCTTAAAAATCAATAACTCTCATATTTTTAGTACCGGAGGGAGTAGATCTTTGTGTATTTGTAATATAAAAGAATTAGACTTTTAGCAAAGGAGAAAATATCCATATATAGGTTCATGAAACATGCGAGAAGATTGACATTTTAAATATGAACTTTAAGACCATGTAAGGATTACTCTTACATATTAGCTAAAACAAAACCATTAACTACAAACATTATTATATGATCTCAATTTGGTATTAAAAAAAGTATCACCATAACTTGTCTCCTTAAAGATCATCTACTCTCCCATGGGAACCAGTAAATCACCTTAATAAGCCAAGTGTTTAGATTCTTTAGAATAAGCTGCGTTTAGAACAAAAAACGCCATTTGCATAAATAAAACAAATAAATTGCGCAGAACGGTTTTGCAAAACATACAAAAGAAACCAGTAACCATCGTCTCCAAGTTCCCCGTTCGTTTTTTTGGGCGTTTTCGAAAATCACTTCATTTTCTCTTCCTTGAAGAGAACATGAGAATTAACACGGGGATCATACTTGCGAAACTCGAGTTTGGTCTGGCTAGTTTGGAGCCTCTTTGTCTTCTTCACCACGTAGAAGAATCCCGTTCCCGCTGTTGAAACCAGCTTCACAAACAATGCACCCGCCTTCTTCTTGTCACCCATTTCTTGGGTTTCAACCTGAGGAAAGACACATTCGCCTTGCACACTTAGATACTGAATTATCAATCTCAATCTCGCCAAGAGTTTCAGATTCAAATGATATCTAATCCAATTCATCGAGCCTCTCCTACGGACACTTGACTTTAAATACGACTCAATCAAATTCGACTTCGAAAAACTTCTTTCCATGAAAGGAGAGATAATAAAAGAAAATAGTGAGTAATATCTTGTATGCAAGAAAATGAACTACAAATGAAAGAAAAAGAAAAACTCTCTCACCAAAATAGAATGAAATTTGTTTTCTCACCAAAAGTGTACCCCAAATGTACACTACTCTCTTCATTACCACTCATTTTATTTATTTATTTCTTTTTTATTTTACATGCCAAAATATGTGGTAATGGGGGTGGTATACATTTGGGGAACACTTTTGGCGTACGTACGGTGTACCCTAGCATTTTTGTTTTTTTTCTTAGGTTGTTTTTTTCCTCTCATGAGAAAAACCATTTCCTTTGAATCAAACATAGTGTCAAGTTATGTTTGATTTGAAGAATTCAAAAATGAAAGAAAACGAAAAACAATTCTCTCCTCCTTCTCACCAAAATATGACCAAAATTGTTTTCTTTTTTTCTTAATTTATTTATTTTTCTTCTCACAATACTTTTATTTTCCTTCCAACCAAAGAAAAAAAAGAAACTATTGTCCATATCAATTCCATTTCAAAATACAGTGCCGGTCCTGAGGATTCATCAGCATGGGCCGAAACAGAAAAAAGGCCCTAAAAGTCTTATACTTAATGGTCTAACAAATTCACATATGTAAACTAATTATATTTAAATTATAATTAACGTAATATTATTAGAAGAAGAAAATAAATGACAGTTATACTCCCTCCGTCCAAGTGTATTTGTCCAATTTGACTTTTTCGAGTCAAAATGGACAAACTTTGAGCTTCAATTAAATAAAAATCGTAATGTATTTTAACATAAAAATGACTTTATTGAATTTATCGTATAGAGAACTTTCAAAATTGTGTTTCATTATGCTTATATGCAATATAAATTAAGAGTAATTGGAGTTCAAAGTTTGTCCGGTTTGACTCAAAAAAGTCAAACTGGACAAATACACTGGGACAGATGTATTAATATTATAATTACATACCGTAAAAGCTAGCCAAGGATTCGAAAAGTTCTCGTCAATTGTTTTGTTCTTTTTCAGTTTTAATTTTTTTTATATATCATAAGTTCATATCAAATCATCAATTTTTCAGTTTTTAATTTTTTTTTCTTTTTCTTTAATTTTCTTTAGTTTTTAGTTTTTTATATACAAATATATCATAAATTTAAATCAATTCATCCAAATCAAATAAGTAACATATAGAACCATTAATTCACTCTATTTCATAGCAATTAACAAGAATTTCAAATTAAAAATTAATAATTAACCCTAGATTTTAAATCTAAAGAATGAAACAATGAAAGAAAATTAAGAAATAAGAATTACAGAATTGGAAAGCTATGAATATAGAAATGCGGAGCACCTGGAGGGTGGAGCTTGAGGGTCAGCGTCTGGCGGCGGCGGCTTCTTCCGTTCTTCCGTCAGTAGTTTCCCGTTCGTGGTTGTCCCAGCCTCTTCCGTTTGGTTCTTCTTCCGTGACTATGTGTGTAAGTAAAAGTGTAAGTAAAAGGATGGATTGGGCATTGGGCTTTACATATTGGTTGGGCTTCTTATACATATATCACTACTAAAAAAATTGCGAACAGAGGGAGACAAGTTAGCCCCTAATTGTACAGAATCCGCCTCTAATTAAGATCTAGAGTGGAACTAGAGGCGGACTCACTTCTGCCGCTAAACACGCTGCTGTTATTTTTAGAGGCGGAAAAGTCCGCCTCTAAATTAGAGGCGGAAAAATCTAACTCTAAATTAGAGGCGGACTTTTCTGCCACTAAACTAGAGGCACACTTTTTTGCCATTAAATTAGAGGGTGACTTCTCTTCCGCTACATATTTGCTTTATTAGAGGGGGAAAACTCCGCCTCTAATTTTTTATTATTTAAAAAAATTAATTTTATTCCAAATACTATATACAAGCATACAAAAGGGAATTCAAACATGACTTTCAACCATTACACAATACCATAATCTCAAAAAGTCATAAGTCACAGACAACATCAACAACATTAAATAAAAAAATAAAGATTACTATATAAATCTCCTTTGAGGAAATCTCTTGGTTAGAAAGACTGACCAGAATGTTCTTATTGTCTCTTGACAATACAAATGAGGTTATACATTCATCTTCCACAAGAAATCTCTCATCTTTGGATTCCCATCCAAACATGACTATCTCATTTTCTTTACAAACATAAACGATCTGATTCCCATCCAAACATGACTATCTCATTTTCTTTACAAACAGATTCGATCTATTTCCCATCCAGACATGACTATCTCATTTTCTTTGCTAGTAGTAAACAGTATTTTGTTGTTCCCAAATCACAACTTTAAAAAAACTCCCAAGATTTTTACAACTAAACCTACTTTAAAACTAGTAGGTTTGAACAAAAACCAAGACACTAGACATATGATTCTTTCAAATTTTTAAGTTAAAAAATATCATAATTAAAACTGGTCTAAAAAAAGAATTCCACATAATTGAAAAATTAGAATAAATATATATATATATATATATATATATATATATATATATATATATATATATATATATATATATATATATATAAATTCGAAAATCAAATTGAGGTAACAAAAATTCCATATAATTGAACAATTAGAATATTTTCATTCACACAATTGAAGAATTTAGAGAATTTTCAAGAGACAAGCAAATAAATTCACATATTTGACCAATTAGAGTATTTTCAAGATGAATTAAAACCTAGAAATTGGAGGGGGAGCTGAGGCGTCGGCGCGGCTGAGACGGTGGAAGATGATTTCGGGGTTGTGACCGTTGCCGGATGATAAGCCGACGGTCGGCGACAGGCAGAGAGGCGGGGTAACGGCGCTGTGCTTCGCCGTGTTGAAGGCCGCTTCGGCTGGGGTGAGAGCGCAGCGAGAAACGAGAGAGATTTAGGAGAGATGGATGGATAGTTTCTTCTTTTCTAATTGGATAAGTCAATATATATCACACAAGTCCAGGTCCGTATACCGTACATCCGCTACCTAAAATTAGGTACACCCGGCCCACTTAACCTTTAAAACGTCAAAGCCCATTTATGAATCAGGCCCAAATATTTTCATTTGCCTATACCTGCGATTTCCAAATCATCCCCACCCTCGAAATTCAAATTCTTCTCTAGAATCGAAGCGTTTTCTACGCTCGAAGCTATTGTCTGCGGCACAACATCACTGCGGAAGAAGATGACCATGCAGAAGGAAAAAATTGCAGAAGCTTCTTCTTCGTTGAGGTATGAGATTTTTACTTCTATTATCGTTAAATATCTTCTCTGAATTCCGAATTTATCAAATCTTAATCGGAAAGATGTCAAACCCTAAATGGAATATTTTTAAACCAAAACCATGTTGAGCTCCAAAGCAATTTCATCTGCTATTATACTAATTCTCGCATTGAAGTGTAAGCTACCAAAATCGTACGCACTTATACTCATTCTCATATAGAATGGTACTCGTTTGTATTCTAGAGAGTTGTTAAGTTCATTCTCGTAAGGGCCATAGAAAATGTCACATAACATGTCCATTCAAGTAACAGATTTAATTATTTCCATTCTAGTATGTGTCATAACACATTGGCATGTATACTGGTACTCATTTTTATGGGTCTAGTACTTATTTTTATGGTAGATAGTAAAGTTCATGCATATAGGAGTTGTAATATAATCATTGTCCTGTTTGGTAGAACACATTATGATTTATAATCGTACTCATTTATACTCTCTGAGCATGGAGAATTTAAAACCCAGGTTTAGTCATGTTTGTATTGAATAAGAATATGATAATTCTCATAAGTGCTCGTACTCCTTCTCAAATCTGCTGGTACTCATTGTCATATAGCTGGTACTCATTGTCATATATAATAGTTCTCATATATGTTCTGGGCATTGGATAGATGTTATGCTTGTTTGGTTTCATTCTGGATAGTGTGCTAGTAACTAATTTGGTGTGCTTTTGATTCAAGTAACGGATTGAATTATGTCCATTCTTGTATGTGTTATCAGTGATTCTAATTTATAATGGTCCTCATTTGTAGTCCACACAGTAGGTGCATGTTATGTTTGTGATAGTAAAGCTCATTCATATTTGGATTTGTAATATGATCATTTTAATGTGTTCCAGTGTACATTATGACTTATTCTGGTACTCAATTATACTCTAAATACTGAATATGATCATTCTCATTCTGTATAGACAACTTAAAGCCCAAGGTTATTATTTTTGTGTGTGGTAGGAATATGATCATTCTCATAACTACTGGTACTCCTGTTACACAATAGTAGTCAGTTATTGAACTGTGTAGCTAAAAATCATATTGAAATGTGCATGAAAATTATACAGTAAAAACGCCATGACGGAAATCCCTCTACTACGTGAAGAACCAAATGTTTTTACTAAAGTAAATCTGAAGAAAAGGAAAGGGACTGAGAAAGAACCCAAGTTTGGGAGAAAAATGCAACTGAGAAAGAGAAAGAAAGGGATACCGGGAAAAATGCTGAGCAGGAAAACAATCAAGCTCAAGAAGATCCAATTTCACAAGAAGATGAAATGCCGAGCATTGAAAATATTGACCAATTACACGGTGAGAAGTTTTTGGTAGCACAAGTTGAGATCGAAGCAAACTCAGAGCAAAGGAGAGAGGAAGCTGACCAAGGAAATGGTGAAGAGGAAGAATGTGCTATGATGAAGAAAGATGGCACAACAGAAAGAAAAGGAAAGAAGAAATACAAAAAAATAAAGAGAAAGACAGGAATACAAGAAAAAAATGTCAAGCAGGAAAACAATCAAGCTCAAGAAGATCCAATTTCGCAAGAGGATGAACTACTTAACATTGAAAACATTGACCAATTAAATGGTGATAAGTTTTTGGTAGCAGAAGTTGAGCTCGAAGGAAACACTGAGCAAAGGAGTTTGAGAGATGAGCTAAACACTGACCAAGAAATTGGTGAAGATGAAGTAAACACTGAACAAGAGTGTAGTCAAGAGGAAGAATGTGCTAGGAAGAAGAAAAATGCAACAGTAGAAAGAAAAGGTAAGATGCAATACAAAAAGAGTGAAAAATAAAGAGAGAAGCGGGTGGTGGGAGAAGAAGAAGAATTAAATAAGATTGGTGTGAAGTCCATAAAGACAAGGATGTCACCAAAAACAATAACTGAACTGTTTAAAAATTTGAGTGAAGAACAAAAAGAGGATGTTAGGGAAATGGGGTTTGGTAGGTTGTTACAGTTGGATATCACGCATCTTCCTCTGCAGTTAAGTTACTGGATGGTGGAAAATTTTGATACAAGAAGTGTTTCGCTGAAGTTGCCAGGTAAAAAAGAGATTCACATTGATGAGACTTCCATTCATAGCACCATCGGATTTCCAATGGGAGGAGAAAGTGTGATGAAAAAGAATGGAGAGAAATCTGAAGAAGCAAGAGAAGTGATGAGAGCTTGGAAGTTTCAATTTCTAGTTCAGAAAGGGACAGTTAAAATGGCAGATGTGAGCTTGGAAGCAGAATTGTTCAGCAGCACATAAAATTGTGAATGCTTTAGTTAACGTGTCTGGAATAAAAAACCTTAACTGGTGTTTATATACCTTGGAGAGCTTGATAGAGGCAACAAATTATTGGAAAGCCAACAAAAGCAGATTCTTTGGAGGGCCCTTGCTGTTTTTAATTGTAAGTTCTAAATTTTATATTTGTTTTCTAAAATGTTTATATATTTTGTGTGTTGTATTAACACATTTATTTGATGAAATGATGATCAGGTTTTCTATGTTGACAATGTCATTTTCAAAAGCAGAAGAGTTCAAAGGCAGTTCCCCTCTTTCATTGGGTGGAACGCATGACTACTGTGGGAACGAGAAAGGGCTAAACAAAAGAGTGGGGGATTTGGTTACAGGTACATCGATGTGCCCAATGTTGAAAAGATTGAATTGACAAGTCCAAATCTCAACAAACAAAGTCTCGAAACCCTACGTTCGTGTTCTCGTTCGTGTGCCATCCGGTGTGTTCGCCGTCAGCTCGGCGGTGTTTGTTCGTCGTTGGTGCGCCGGAGATTAGAGCCTATCGGCCTTCCTCCGTCGCTGGTTTGTCTGCCATTAACCGCTACCTTCATCTCGTCGCCAGCTCGTGTGTTCAACGTCCGTCCCCATGACCGGCGAAATCGTGGCCTCCAACCCTAAAAAGACTCGGCTCATTCATGATCCTTCTTTTATATATTACCTTCACCCCTCCGAAGGCCCGGGTAACTCATTGACAAAATATCTTCTTAAAAGTGATAATTTTGATGTATGGGAGAAGGCAATCCGTAATGCTTTGGGTGGTCGTGGAAAATCTGTGTTCTTGTCATCCGGAGGTGTTCCCAAACCTACTGATGAACAGGAATTGTCTGCATGGTGTGCTAATCATCAAATTATTTGTAGTTGGATTTTTAACAGTGTTGATGAATCTATCCAACCCAGTATTGTTTCTCATTCAATTGCTTATGAGTTGTGGGATGATTTGAAGAAGCGATATAGTTGCTCTAATGGGCCTCGTGTGTACCAGTTAAAGTCAGAACTGAATTCTTTACGCCAAAAAGGTCAAAGTGTTGTTTCCTACTACAACCAATTTATTACTTTATGGAATCAATTGTATGGCTCCTCAGATCTTACCGGGGGCTGCCGGTGTGAGGCCGCAGGGGTCATGCGTGCCCGTATTGATCGTGACAAAACCGTGGACTTCTTGCTTGGATTGGATGATGAACAGTTTGGAAATATTCGTTCTCAGATTATAGGCACTGAACCGGTGCCCGATCTCGACCGTGTGTATTTTTTGGTCACCCAGGAGGAGCGCCATTGCCATATCGTTCGCACTCGGGACGATCGCACGGACTCCGTTGCTTTCGCTGCCCGACTCGACAAACGCCCTCTTGTTCCAAACAGGTCTTGCTCGCATTGTGGTCGTACCAATCATAGCGTGGATACATGTTTTGAGCTTATTGGATTTCCAGCACAGTACGCTCGTGGTGGAGGGCGGGGTAGAGGCAGTGGCTCTACAGGTCGAGGGGCTCGGTGCCTGGTGGCCGTGGCTCTACTCGGCACGGCAGCGCCCCCCACACCCTTGCCGGCAGTGGGCAGCCGGTCCAGGGCAGTAGCGGCGGTCCTTCAGCAGCTGTCCATGCATCCGTGTCTGACCCGAGTGGCAACCTCAGTGATCAAATGTCCATACACCAGTAATTCTTCTTCTGATTGGTTAATTGATAGTGGCGCTTCACATCACATGATAGGTTCTCTCTTACACTTATGCAATGTTGAGGATGTTTCTCCTCATTCTGTCTGTCTCCCTGATGGGTCTCGTGTCCAGGCGACAAAACAGGGAAGTGTTCATTTGTCATCTCGTTTGGTATTACGTAATGTGCTATACATACCAAACTTACAGTGCCACTTGATTTCTGTTGGACGTTTGATTCGTGATAATGCTTGTTATGTAACTTTTAATGATCATCGTTGTGTGATACAGGACCGTTCGTCGAAGATGGTGATTGGACAGGGTGATTTGCGAAATGGCGTGTATGTCTTTGCATCTGTTCCTGTGTCAGCCCTCGTAGCCAATCTCGATCCCTTTGTTCTTCATCAATGGCTAGGCCATCCTTCCGTTGACGTTCTTTTGTTTCTTGGTACCAATAAAACACAATCTGTTGTTCAAAAATTGCAGACTTGTGACATTTGTTTTATGTCTAAGCAAACTCGTTCCCCATTTCGTATTAGTGATAATAAAGCTGATGCTATTTTTTATTTAATTCATTGTGATCTGTGGGGACCTTATTCGCCTTGTATTTCATCTGGGGCACATTATTTTCTGACAATTGTTGATGATTTTTCTCGGGCTGTCTGGGTTTATTATATTAAATCAAAAAGTGAGGTCACTCCTTGTCTACGGCGTTTTTTCATAATGATCAACACCCAATACTCCAAAACTATAAAAATTGTTCGTTTTGACAATGGCACTGAATTTCTCAATTCTTCATTGCGTCAGTATTATGATAGTTTGGGTGTGTGTATTCAAACATCTTGTGTTGGTACCCCACAACAAAATGGGCGGGTAGAACGAAAACATCGTCATATACTAAATGTGGCCTGATCCCTTATGTTTCAAGCGTCTCTTCCACTCGAATTTTGGGGGAGTGTGTCAAAACAGCAGTCTACTTAATTAATCGCACTCCTACTAAAATCCTCGGGGGGAAATCTCCTCTTGAAGTTCTTTCTTCTAAACCTCAAGATTTGAGTCATCTTCGGGTTTTTGGTTGTCTTTGTTATGTCCATCCTATTCCTAAACCCAGAAATAAATTTTCCCCACGAAGTATCAAGTGTGTGTTCATGGGCTATCCCTATGGTACCAAAGGGTGGCGCGTTTACAATCTTGAAACACATACGTTTTTTCATACGAGGGACATCTCCTTTGATGAAACAACCTTCCCGTTTGCTGTTCCTACTTCCTCGCCCAGTAACCAACCCATCCTCACGCCCTCATCAACCGATTTTGCCGTCCCTCCCAACCCCGTCACCACTGCCGTACCAGCTCCCCAGCCACTGGTACCGTCACCCATCACCCCCACTATCCCGGTGACAACCCAGCAGCCCGCCCAGCCACAATCTCCGTCACCCTCCCCGTCCCCCTCTCTATTTGACACGGCCAGCCCCCCCGTCTCCTCCTCCGATGACGACGACAGCCCCACTCCCTCCACGGTGGAGACCACTTCTCCACCGCCGACAACTCCCTCCCCCTTCTGCCTCGTACCCATTGTCGTCCATCCCATCTCAACGACTATGTTCTTACTTCCGCAAAGACTGTCACTCCAGCTCCAGTCACCTCCTGTTCTTCTCCTTCTGATACTCGGTTCCCTATCACTAACTTTGTTCATTATTCTAAGTTGCATGACAGGTATAAAGGATTTCTTGGAGCTATTGATGCCACATCTGTTCCCCACAATTTTCGTGAAGCGGTTCAGTTTGCCTCATGGCGAGAGGCAATGGCCACTGAGTATTCGACCCTAGAGCGTAATCATACCTGGGATGTTGTTGATCTTCCTCCTAATCGCCGTGCTCTTGGTTTTCAGTGGGTATACAGGACCAAATTCCGGTCTGATGGTACTAAGGAGCGTGATAAGGCTCGCCTTGTTGTTTTAGGCAATCATCAGGAACTTGGTGTTGACTATACTGACACTTTTGCTCCTATTTCCAAACTTGCTACTGTTCGTGTTTTGTTGTCTGTTGCAGTGGCTCGTGGTTGGCAAGTTGATCAGTTGGATGTTAATAATGCCTTCCTACATGGTGATTTACAGGATGAGATTTATATGAAACTACCCCTGGCTATACTCATCTTTTTCCAGGGAAAGTTTGTCGTCTTCGAAAGTCCTTGTACGGGCTTCGTGAGTCTCCTCGTAATTGGTTCACTAAGCTCTGCATTGCTCTCCGACGATATGGTTTTCGTCAAGCCCACGCTGATCATACTCTTTTTGTTCTCCAGCGTGGCCCTGATATGTTGGTTGTACTTGTTTATGTTGATGATATTCTGGTGGCAGGTAACAACAGGTCTTTATGTACGTCATTCAAGAAGTATTTAGATGATTGTTTTCATCTAAAGGATCTTGGTCCAGTTTCTTATTTTCTGTGGATTGAGTGTGCTCGCTCTCCAGATGGTATGGTCCTTACTCAGCGAAAGTATGCTCTTGACATTATTGATGAGGCCAACTTGCTTGGTTGCAACCCTGTGGACACTCCATTACCGGTTAATCATAATTTGGCCCGATCTACCCGTGCTGAGATTCGTGATCCTCTTAAGTATCGTCGTCTTGTGGGTCGCTTATTGTACCTGACCATTACTCGTCCGGATATTTGTTATGACGTTCACACTCTCTCTCAGTTTATGCAGGTGCCCCGTCTCGATCATTGGAATGCGGCTCTTCGTGTCCTCCGTTATCTCAAGGGACACCCTGGTCAGGGTCTTTTGTTGTGTAGTGACAGCAATCTCGTCCTTACTGCCTTTTCTGATTCTGATTGGGCTAGCTGTCCCCTTACACGCCGCTCTATCACTGGTTATTTTATTTTATTGGGTGGTTCTCCGGTCTCATGGCGCACTAAAAAGCAGACCACTGTTTCCCGATCTTCCGCGGAGGCTGAGTATCGCGCTATGGCCAATGCATGTGCCGAAATCCGTTGGTTGCGTGGCCTTTTAGCCGCTTTGGATGTTCCGTGTATAGCGACTCCATGTTTATATTGCGATAACAAGTCTGCTTTGTTCATTGCAGCTAATCCAGTGTTTCATGAGCGTTCGAAGCATATCAATATTGATTGTCATATTGTCCGAGAATGCCTTCAGTGCAATCATATTGTTACCGCTTATGTTCCTACGCGTTTTCAGACGGCGGACATCTTCACGAAGGCCCTCTCCGGTCCTCTTTTTTGCAGTTTGTTGTCCAAGTTGGGCATTTATGATATTCATGCTCCAACTTGAGGGGGTGTTAGCCTAGTATATGTATGTATATTTGTTTATTGTGTATTGGGTCGTGTATAGTTTGGGCCCGTGACTTGTATTCTCGGTTATGTATATAAACTCCCGATGATTAATGGAAAACCAAGTTTCACGTAAAATATTTCTACATTCGACTTCGAAAAACTTCTTTCCATGAAAGGAGAGATAATAAAAGAAAATAGTCAGTAATATCTTGTATGCAAGAAAATGAACTACAAATGAAAGAAAAAGAAAAACTCTCTCTCCTCACCAAAATAGAATGAAATTTGTTTTCTCACCAAAAGTGTACCCCAAATGTATACTACCCTCTTCATTACCACTCATTTTTATTTATTATTTCTTTTTTATTTTACATGCCAAAATATGTGGTAATGGGGGGATGGTATACATTTGGGGTACACTTTTGGTGTATCCCTAGCATTTTTGTTTCTTGTTTCTTAAGTTGTTTTTTTCCTCTCATGGGAAAAACCATTTCCCATATTATTTTCTTTTCCTTCTCTTTTCAATCTCTTTCAATCAAACATAGTGTTAAGTTTGATTTGAAGAATTCAAAAATGAAAGAAAACAAAAAAACAATTCTTTCCTCCTCACCAAAATATGACCAAAATTGTTTTATTTTTTTTCTTCACACAATACTTTTCTTTTCCTTCCAACCAAAGAAAAAAAAGAAACTATTGTCCATATCAATTCCATTTCAAATAGTTCACATCACAAGCATAAATTTGTCACATACGGAGTATAACTTTGATGCCTAAATAGAATTCCGATTTTGAAATTGAACAAAAAACAATACGGGAACCGCTCAGAACAATCGAGGAAGGATTCCACTCACAATTTTCACATTTTATTTTTAATGTTTATTTTAAATTTATGTACAATTTATTTATACTCAATCTATCCCAATTTATGTTGTATATTTACTATTTATACTTTTTCGTTACTCATTTCCATAGAAAAATGTGCTCTTTAATTACTTGGCCTCTTATTTGGTTCAACCTTTTTATTTGGTTTTTAAATATATAACTTATTAACTTTTATTTTAAAATTTTACACTAACTTTCAAACTATATGAATTAAAAATAATTTTGTTCAAACATCATAAACAACAATAGGTAATTAAATTTAGGACAGAGAAGCAATAAACAAAGTATTTACGAACAAAAAATAGTACTCTGTATGTAACAAAATATGCATAATATACTATCATATATTTTCGTGCAAATTACCCGATTTACCAATCATCTGTTTCATATTTCACTCATCGCCCGATGCACCTATTACCCGCGGGTGAGGTGAAACAAATGATATTAATTTCAAGAATCACATAATTGAAAATAGACTATATCAAAACTCCCCAAAACCTTGCTCATTGTAGAAGATGCCAAGATAATCTCCTAACATCGTCAAAATTAATTTTCTAAAAGATGCAATTGGCTACTAATATGGTGTACATGTCTATTTAAATTTACACATAGAAAAAAACATATGTAACTTTTTTTGTTCAATATACTCATTTATACACCTTCAACTTTTTTTTTCCAAACTTGGTCTCAAGCTCTTAGGGGTACTGCATTGCCATGTTTTTGGCAAATTTGTCGAATCAACCAAAAGTTGTCAAGATTTTGCAGTGTATGTTCCTATTCGAAACTAAGTGCAAAAATTTCAAGACAATAAATATATTTCGTGCGTCCCAATTTAAATTGTTTGTTTAATATTCACATGTCAAACTTATACCACGTTCTTGACCTCTTTTTGAAACTCATTTGAAAAACTTTTGATGTAGCTTTTATGTATATAAATTTTACTCCCTCCGTCCCAAATTATAATGCATGTTTACTATTCACAGGGTCAAACTTCATTCACTTTCTTTCTCTATTTTCGTTAGCAATTTGATATAATAAAATCTTATTGTCACTACTAGTTTTGTAGATCTTTTGATGTAGTTTTTTAATATGTAATTTTTATTTTTTAATTCTATACCATTTGTCATATAAAATTGTTTGAAAATAATTTCAATCAAACATCATAAACCGAAACAGGCGTTATAAATTGGGACGGAGGTAGTATTTTTTAATTCATTACTAGTTACCAATTTTTAAATAGATTGATTTGAATTAACTTTAATCAAACCTTGTAAACAACATGAGACAACTCTTTTTGGGACAAAGATACAACCTAAAATAAATTTTAGAAGACAAGTGTAAATGCTAAATGGAATCTTCCAAATAGTTTAGAATTGGCTTGAGAGAAAGGAAATAAAGGGTGTTTGGAAGTGATTAACTTGTGGATAAAGTGATTTTCACAAAAGCTGAAAGCAAAAGCATCGCATACATGCTTCTCCAAAACGGTGTTCTATGTACAAAATAGTGATGATGAAAAGCAGAAGCTGACATGCCAAACAGAGTAAAATCACTTTCACTCAAAGCAAAAGTTAATTTATTAAAAGCAGCGCACTGCCAAACGCACTCATAATGTCGTTAGAATTTCAAGAGATTCCATGTATGACATGAGAGGATGAAGAATTTCATTTTCCAAATAATCTATAAATGGCATGAAAGTATTACTTCTAACCAAAAATCAAAAATGAATTTTATAAAGATTTTCCTTCCATGATTTTTTTTGAGGATGGAAATATCCATGATTTCCAAGCTAGTTCAAAAGTTGAAAGAGATGCTTTCTTGAAAACAAATCTTTGGAATTGCAATTTGGTCCCAACACTCCTAAAAATGTCATGCCCGTCAGTTCGGATCGGAATCCGAACTCAAACCAACGGTTTTTTGCCACACCGTCAAGTGCCAATAGTCCAAATGTTAGTGGTGACTCTTGAATAGGGAAAGTAGTCAATGTGAAAAGGCCTTATCTGGACCTCTTACCTACACCTCTTAATCTTTCAACAAAAGTTTGGGTAGAACTGAGATGACTTCTTGAAGGCAGTCAAATTGTCGATGATCTGAACCGGTTCAGTCGCGGTTTTCTGTTCGGTGTGGCAACCCCACACCCGCACAGAAAGTCTCCTACATTTGGGGGATGGTTGTTGTAAATAAGTCTGGTACCACTCGATTAGGTCACTTTTACGAATGGTCTTAAGCTCTTCTGCTTCCTTCTCTGACATGTCAAACATATACCTGAGAATCAATGAAACTTGAGATTTTAAAAGCAACCAAAATACAGTAAACAACGTATTATCTCTCTTAAAGCATTTAGCAATGACAGAATGAAGTTTTTTTATCATTAATGAAGTTTTTACTATCTCCGTCCAAAGAGATAGTGTTATATATTCCATAGTCATTTCCACACGAATTAAGAAACGATAGCTACTAAAAGGTTAGAGCATTAAATTTTGATTTTATCTTAGGTTATGTTCCATGATTTACGTGAAGATTCTGACAGCACTCTGTCTCTAAAAAAGGAAAGTTTATCTATGTCGGAACCAACACAGTTATTAAAGAGAAATCGTGGTTGAAATTTATGCACAAAGTTCTTGCCTTGCGAGAAAATTGGAACCTTATTTTGGGACACACTTAAAAGAAATGTAAAACCATTTTTAAGGACAAAGGTGGTAGGAATTTTGCAATAGTATATGACTAGAAATTCTCTAAACACATTGTTGGGTCCTGATATTTTGTATGCAAGTGGGGAAAAAATCTTCGATGATGATGGTTTTGAAATTCTATCTCATTATTCCTTTTTTAAAGAAGATATTGAGTGCTTTTGCATTAATTTAGTACCGAAGTATTAAATAATTAGGTAATTAATTGACACTAAATATCATGTCACTAGCCCCAATATAATTGGGGTTAAGGTGTTATTGCTCTTGATGATGATATACCTTAATGTCTCATCAAGTACATTTCTTAGGCAATTCACGTGGAGTAATACCGGGATACATTGAATAAGGGCATATGGGGAAACAAATGGGATTAAGGTGGTGTTGTTGTTGATGATATACCCTAACATCTCACTATTAGCATTACTTAAAATAGTTCATGTGAGGTAAATCAGGTAATACCAAGATAAACAGAGTAAGGGCATGTATGGAAATGAAGAATTAATGATATCTTTGATATGGTAATTGAACTATCTCCGTGAATGGACAAAAATGGAGCAGAGGACTAACTTTGTGGGACTAACGGAGTACATATATGGCTGCATGTAAACAGTATGTACCTTTTATCTACTATTTGACCCCATAAGCGGTTTGTTTCATATGCAAGTGATGGATCTTTCTCGAGAAGTTTAGCCACTAGCCCACTTTTGTAATTTTGAAATGAATCATCATTGAGATCATCCTGCAAACAACAGTGATAGAGATAACATATTGCAATAAGCCAATCACCCACACACAAAGGACAATGGATGAGTGGATGACACCATGCACCCAACCAATTCCAACACTGAAAACGAGATGTAGCAAATAAATATCCAACATATGTAGCATAACATCCTTGTGTTTATTTAGGCTTTTTGTTCAAAGTTGGAAGGTATAGGTCACTTGGACACTTTCTACAGCTCAAATATTGCAATCAAACATTAAACGTGTTATCTAGGCAACTACTCTGCATCTAAATTGCACCAAGACGAGGATGGGGACTTATACAGGGACAGGGTTAGAAATATGGAAACACCATTTTTCCAGATTTCAGAAGGAATTTGGGTGTCGGGACGTCCCCAAGTACCCAAACAGGGACATTTCAGAGACGGAAAGTGACTCTTTTGAAAAATCTGTGCAACATAGCTCTGCAGTTTACATCTGAAATCCAAGCTTTCATCACAATCCTTACAACTCCCACTTCATCTGGCTTTTCGGAAGAACTTTCAGTTTGCCAAAAGCCAAATATAAATGTTCCCTATATTGTTTCTGATGATTGTTACATTGTGATATTTTATTGATATAAGAGTCACCATTTCATTCTATCAAATGTTCTGCATACCACGGTATAACCCTCATTGCCTATTTGATAAAATGCAATCTTTTAATTGTTTTGCATTTAACTTATTTTTTCTGATCTAATCTGATAAAATGCAATCTTTTATTTTTAATAAAATAAAATTAGTTAATTCATATATTAGAATAATCATTCATATTATAATGTAAGAATATTTTTTATTTTATGATTATTTTTTTGTGAAATAAGAATATCGATTTAATATTTTAATAATTAGTTCATATATACATTAGAATAAATATTAAATTTATATATACATTAAAAAGTAATTAAATTTAGATAATCAATAGAGAGAAGAGATAGTATTTTTATTAAAATATCTCATCCTTATAAAAGATCAAAACTTTAGAAACTCAAATTACAGGTAACAATAAAAATATATTTTAAAAGTAGAATTAGATTGACATTGTCAATGTATTTTAAAAATAATTTTTTCGACGTCTAATAATTAAGCATTACTTTCTCAGTATTCTATTTAACTTGTTTCTAAAGTTTATTCCTTTTCATTTTTAAGAATAATAATAATAATAATAATAATAATAATAATAATTCTTGATGGGATCTAATCTGATCTGGTCTGATCTGATTGGATCTGATCTAATTCGATCTGATTCAATCTAATCTGATCTGATCTGGTCTGATCTGATTTTAATCAGAATAAGAAAAAATAAGAAAAAATAAGTTGAACGGAATGGGGCCTTAGTCCATGAGGTGGCACTTGGCAGAGAAGACTAATGCTGTTTTTCTCTATTGTTAAGCAGGAGAAAGGCAATTACCAGACACCTGATAAAGTCTGGATGCAGTGTAAAGTTTCTCTACCAGTTGAATGACTGAATTCACTAATTAAATCTCACCAAATGGTCAAATATGAACTACTTTGCAAAATGCAGAATAATTGAGGGGGGAAATGAATGGTGATTATCCCTTTTATAGTCAGAGAGGTCTCTCATTTTGAAACAGGTGAACAGCAAACCTTCTCAACTCAACCAGTACAAAGCTACAAATGCAGGAAGATTAAAGATACTAAACCATTTTTATTTTTCTTTGAAAACATAAATAACATCAAAGCAGGATAATATGTATAAGTTCGACTGCACCACATATAACAAAATAAAATAAGGAATAAAAATGATTATCCGTACCAATATCTCTTTCACACTATTTATGAAGTTGTCAATCCTTCCTTGCAAGTATACAGGATCATACTCACTAGACTGAACTCGAAAACAAAAGCCTAATATGCGGTATGTTACCCTTGGGCAGCAGTCAACAACATAACCAAGCTGCTCCTTTGTCCTGTGTTAAGGTGGAGAAGAAAATTCAATACTGTAGATCGATGCTCCATATTTGACACAAAGTCACTCACTTCCAATCAAAGTGGTGGAAATCAACACATCTAGTGAAGGAGATTAACTTTATTTTACCTTAACTGGTTAAAGAGCGGTTCTTCAACAATTTCATCAAATAGATCTAACAGTGCTTTCAATTTGGTCAATTCTGAGCCTACTTCAGGTTCAACCTGATAATAGAGCTGAAGCCAGAAGATGGTGTTAAAAGAATAATTTATCGATCACACGGGACTTTAAAAAAGCAAAACACCTCATCATACATTTTGTATTACCTCAACCACAGAGTTTGTTTCCAGTTTATTTTTCACTGGTACATCTCTAACTAGGTCAGCACCAGATGGAAGGCACAAAATGAACTCTCTATGGGTCATTTCAATCGGAAGTGGTGGCACTGGGAAGTAACTTTTAAATATATTAGATATATCTAATGCTTCTTCTTCCAACAGATTACCATGACAAAGTCCCTCAATATATAACTGCAGGCAGGTTAATAGAAAATCAAAGTGAACATATATAGTCCATTCTCCATGGACATCAAATTAGAATAACATACAAAGTACACACACTCTTTCTGAAGTAAGAATAAATTTGGGACAAGAAGAAATCAATAAAACTTGAACAATAGGTATTGGCTTAAAATATTACTCCCTCTATCCCAAAATGTACTTTACACTAGCCTTTTCCATCTGTCCAAAATTAAATATTACAATTCTCTCATCTCCTTTTTAGGAAAGAAATATGTGGCTCACAACATTTTTCTCTTCTAAACAAATTTCTACGACACACTTTCCAACACTTCTCTTAAACTCTCTGAAGTCAAAGCATTGAAAGGATAAAGTTCATTTTGGGAATAGGATGTGGGGAGTATTTCTTTTACTAAGTAATAGGAGTATATTATTACAAGAGAATCACTCTATTGAAATCAATACATGTTGGCTGGGACTAGGAGACCGACCCAGTGGACCCACATACAAGGATTTCAGAGACACAAGAGTTATTCAAGTTCAACCTGCCTAGCAATTCTAATACTTGTGTTGTTATCTTATTACAATATTCAGGACATCTGATATTCCCAGAGGAGGCAATGCCCTTTTTCATCCTCAATGGCAAATTAAACTTCCTAGAAAATCAATAAAATAAGCAAAAGAAATGCCCATGAGAAGCTTAAAGGACTGTAAAGTGGCCACATGAGTTGTAATAGAATGACATTTTAATGAATTATTAATTTCCACACCTGGGAAAGAAGATCTGGAAGAAAAGCCTTCAGATCTGCTATACATAAGTTATGTAATAGGCATTGCTTCTCCTCCACATCCCAGAAACGCTGACACAAAACTTGGAGTCTCAAGTATGACGAATGATTCAAGGGCTTCATGTTAGTGTTCTTCAAAGTTCTTTCCATATCTTCCTTGATAACCTATGGTACCATGTTGAAATAAGATGCTTAAAGACATGTACTGGTAGAAGTCTGCAATTTTTAGCTTTTAAATATACCAAAAAACGGTCATCTTCGGGTGAGAAGGACTTGGTTGCTGCCAAAACTTTTGATAGAAGAACTGGGAGTTTGTCATTAAAACCATACACTTTCAACTCCAACTTGTCACCATTCAAGGAAACAGATGTTTCCAACTTTGCCACACTAGCCTGCAATATAATATATGAACATATAAAATCATAAATGACACCATACCCCTAATATTATCAGTAGACTCCAAAGCTTAAGGCTTAATACTATCCGATTGAAGGTGAAAGGCAACTAACCTTATAGACAATCTCATTCAGTTTGTCTTTCAGAAGGAGGACAAACAGTTCAGTCAGTAGAGTACTTTTCAAATTACTGTAAGCTCCTTTAAGTGTAATGCGGAAGTAAGTATTAGCACGAGGAATCTTAAAACTACTGTCCAGCTTGTACCAAAATTTCATCAAGGGTGCATCAAGAATGCACTTGGGAGCAGATACATTCCGTCCATCACACGATGTTACGTCAGCACGAATAGAAAAATCAGATGCAATAAATTCATTCTTATCAGGTAAATGTAATGATTCATCAATCTCTGGAGGATCCTTCCATAATTCCAACAGAGAGAGTGGGATATCCTCTTCAATATACCGTGATCCAAACCATGGTTCATGTTGAATATCTGAAACAAAGACACCATAATAAAGAAAGAGAGCCCATTTAAATTTCACTAAATAACTAAGTGATACTATTACTATTATTATTATCACTATTATTATTGTGGTTGTTGTTAGTAAGTAATCATGGTTTCTTACTAGTAGTTTTATTCTATTTTGGTTAATATTCTTGATAGCAAAAGTATTAGATTAGGACTCTATTTACTTGCTCACCGAGACTCTTGTAGTCATGGCCCATGGGAGTAGTATAAATAGAGGTATTATATTCATTAATATAATCAGCAAATAGCAATGGTTGAAGTCAAAACTCTAATTATGAGAAACTAGTCATGGACTGCTCTCCCTTCCTTCCAACCATGGGCAGGGAGAGCAGTTTCTAAACCTTTTTTTCATTCTTCACTGGTTAATGTGTTCGTAACACAAAATCTTATGAAGTAACTTGTGCGGCATTGTAAACTATACACTTCATATAACATTGGTAAAGAAAACTACTGTTACTAATTCACATTAGTTATATTACTATATGCCATGAATTCATGAAGGGGAGCAAACAACTTATCATAAACCAGTGAAGAATGAAAAAAAAGTTTAGAAACTACTAGAGAAACCAAAGAATAGCCAAAGTATTAACTGGATAATGTTAAAGGCAGGAGAAGTAGGTAAATTGGGTGCCAGTTAGATGGCAAAAGAATATGAAAATGTAAATCAACAATATCTAGGTAAATACTAGTGTGTTCATCAAGAATCACATCCACATATAGCTTGTGGTGGACCAAGAGTACATCAACATTATCGGAAATGGAAATATCACAAGATCAAACACAGATAATACCATTGGCACTTTTTAAGGTGGCAATATATCGGTTCTAAACTAAAAGAAAGTATAAAAAATCGCTTTTTAAAAAAAAAATCAATTAAAATGAGAACATGCAGAAGCCTTTTAATCAAATTGCTTGTGAAAACAAGAGCTAATGTCAGTCAATCTTTACAAAGACTTACCGATAGAATCATTTAATAACTTTGTTACTAAGTCAACCCTCATGTTGTCCACCGTGAAAAAACCCAAAATATCTTTTATCAATTGCTCATCCCAAATCTCATATGCATAGTCACCATAAACAACATCTTGAGGGGGGTAAACCAGCATATTCCCTGCAATTACAAAATTTCATAATGAATCGAGAAAATAGAAATTATATATGAACAACGAGTTGAGGATATTCCAAAACATTTTGTATTCTAAAGGGGGTTTTGGCTGTGTTTGGAAAATAGCTTTTCGGATAGCTTTTGGCATCTTTGACTGACTTTGGCTTGTTTGACATATCGAACTGCCAAAACCATTGTTTGGCTAATGGCTTTTTCACTTGGCTTTTTGATCCGAAATGCCAAAATCCGAAAAGCCAAGGGGAGTAGCTTTTGAACTTGGTTTTTATAAAAATTATTTTTTTAATCATTTTCTTGAAAGATATTTTATAATAAATGAAAAAAATAAAAATAAAAGTTAAAAAAATAAATTTTAAATTTTCAAAAAAATATTTATGAGAAAATCAAAACTAAAAATCATTAAAAAGTTATATTTTAATAATTTCTTATGAATAATATGAAAATGAAATTTTATACTCCACATATTAACGATATAATTTTTACATGTACAAAAATAAAAAACAAATATCGTGTGTGTGTGTGTCTGTGTGTGTGTGTGTGTGTGTGTGTGTATATATATATATATCAAAACAGCTAATTTTACCAAACATTTTTAACGATCAGCGAACTCATCCTGCCGGTCAAACCAGCTAAATCAAACAGCAATTTAGAACAGCTGATACAAACAACCAACAACCAACAGCTGACTGCTAACATCCAAACAAGGCCTTTATGAATTTATGGGGTCATCCCAATTTTCATCAAAGTTGTTTGGGATGAATATTCTAAGAGTTGCTGACAAAAGATTGAGAGGAGAGGACTACATAAAATCTATGTCCAATCCTGGCAATGAGCTTTTATAAGAATAACATATGTTAAACAATTCAACACAAACCAAATGTTGGATTGCGTCACACAAACTTAGGAGGCAACAAGTAGATAACCTGCAAGTTCTGCAGCATATTCATCTTGAGGTTCCTCTTCTATAAATCTGAACTCCATATGCCCAATATTTTGGAGTTCATTAAATATCCATTGTTGTGGGGAAACTTGCCGCAGTAACTTGAGGTATTGATAAACAAAACCAATGATATCAAATATCTACAGCACCAAAGCAGTCACTTAGTCTACTAGAAAAAGTATCAGAAAATAAATTAAAAAAATAACTATATACTTTGTAAATAAAAGGAACGGGATATTATGATTTATGAGCTGTACCTATTCAACGCAAATGTAAAGAAAGACCCACATCAACCATGAAAACAAATAAATAAGCAAATCGATACTTGTTTGCTTGCATCATAAGTCAATATGGTTAGCAACCATTATAAAGTAGAGGGCTGAAGAACCAGATAAGTAGTAGAGTCGTAGGGAAGAAAACAACCTTTTTCAAACCAGAGTCTGTTAGGTGTATTGACATCTCAAAGATATAAGCTAGTGAGGACCGATGCATTCCTTCATCTCCAACCCCAGCAGATATGGAGCTAACCCAGCCCTTGGCCTTTAAGAAAAAAAGCAAACTCCCTCTACCCTCTGAAAAATATGTTATCCATGCTTAGGCATTTAAATCCATAACAAATTTCATCCCCTACTAAAACATGCATAGAAACAGATCGTCAAAATTATACAGCTAATGAATGTGAAAAAAATACATAAGCATAATAAGCCACTGGAAATGTTATACTACCTCATTCTAACCACACACTTCTTTCTTTTAAACAACTTTCTTAAACTCCGTGAGTCCGTGAAGTCAAACTGTCAGAATTTTATGGGATGGAGGGAGAATCAATCACCAAGTCTACAATGTCTTACCATGGCCAAGGAGATGTGCAAGATAGTCTTCAGGTTTCCTCATATAATCTTTCCTAAGAGTAGGCAATGGCCACAATAAATCTAGGATATGCACATCTTTAACTGCATCTAGTCGATACAACTTGCCAGGTTTCCAAATAGGAAATTCCAATCTTTCACCAGATTTCTCAACATCGCCTCCCTTGACAGCGCTAAATAACTCAAGAGCCCAACTTTCAAGAACATTTAGAGTCTCTGAAACAGTTGCAACTTTCACAATGAGCATATATGTAGGAATTATGTCGCAAACATATAATGCTAGTGTGCTAGTGAAGAGGGGGCAAGTGCGTGAACACACACACCAGAGTGGATAGAGTCATCTATATTCAGGTTAGCTATCACTGTTGAACTATTTTTTTTGAGCATTGCTGTAAATCCCGCTAAGTGCTAGGCTCCTAAGTCGACCATAATCTTAAATAAAACTTCTAGTTTTGAGCATTAATGTAAAAAACACAGAATATTCCCGGCCAATCCTGCCTCAGTGTTAGCGCGTCTTAGGGCATCTAAGTTCTTTTTCCTACTAAGGCCCACCTAACCCTAATTGATCCCCGACTACGCGCTAGGTCCGAGTAGGCACCTAACACATTTTAAAACATTGAAATCAAGTTGATCGTCAGGAAAATCTAAAGCTCAAAGATTATTTCTTCAATGAGGAGCATACCTCCACCTATTATAACTAGTTTCATCTTTTTCCCGTAGTAGTTGTCATTATATAATTTGAAAATCTGCTCCCTTAAATTGACTCCCTTCTCCATGGCATCACCAAGGCTCTTCTTATTCCCTTCATTCAATTAAGAGACATGAACATCAAGAAATAATTTGGGGGACTAAAGTCACAAAGTACCAAACATAAAAGAAGCCATGTTTTTTGTAAATTTACCCCAAAAGAATCGGTTAAAAGGATGACCAGGAGTAGATGTATGGCACTGTAATTGCTGTAGGCGGCATAAATCATTTTGAAGGACCTGATTAAATTCTGTTACCAAGGAGTGATAATAGAAAACCACCGGCAATCAGTGCGAAGGAACGAGCAGCAAATGGGTAATAATGAAGTAGACCAGCAATGGAAACAAAAGAAAAAGTGTTACTATAAAAATTCAAATAGTGACAAACCTGAATCAACCGCAAGCAACTCACGCTCCATGGCTTCAGCTTTTACCAATGGCGAAACGAAAAACTGAGAGAATCTGAGTAGAACCTATTTCAGTGTTAGATATTTGTCATATCTACGCAAGACTGTTGCAAAATGATTTGCATGAAAATGTTGTTTTACCTCTTCAAGGCTCCATGAAGGTACTCTCCTTTAACTTCAAAATGGTAGCAAGTATACTCTGTTTCTGTATATGCATTTGATGAACCCCCATGCTTGGACAAGTAACTGTCATACTAGTTAAGCAAAAAGTCAGCTAGGGAGCGCAAATGGGAAATGGCTATTGTTACCACTTACCACTTAGAAACCAATGCATCTTCATAATAATGGAAAGAACACTTTTACAGAGTTATTAAACATCACTGAAGCATCGTCTTATTTAAAAAAAATTGCAAATATGGTCCCAGTACAATCATTTAGCTCAAGAGAGAAAACCAAATATAGCAAAATTGTCACTGCTATTTAAGAAAAAAACAGATAAAGAACATGCAAAACATGAAAACCTGTGCAAACACAAAGAACTAGAACATACCTCATTTTCATCAGGGAATTCAGTACTCCCCATAAATAGCATGTGTTCTATGAGAAATGGAACAAGAACAATGGTTAGAAATTTCATTTGAGAGTAAATTAGTTAGAAACTGATTCGCTGTATCCGCTGAAAATGCAAATATATCAATTTGATTTGAGAGTAAATTAGTTAAAGGAACAAACCAAGGAAATGTGCAAGACCCTGTGCCTCATAAGGATCCGAGAAGCTGCCCATTCCCACACACATAGCAGCTGCAGCCTGCAAACAAAATAGAATACTCCAATATAGACATCTCCTATACACCACAAAGGCACAAACTATTCACATAGTACTATTTACATACTTCAAGACTATAGCCACATAATGTAAACAAACATTTTATTTGATTCCAATGCATTCTCATTCTAAAATGTATATGATGCTTTAATAAGGAGTATTAATTTATAGTAATTGAGTAGAGCAATTGAGAAGGACCTTCTTATGAGAGTCTTTCTTCTTCTTATCTCCATTCCCCTCTTCACATTCGGATTCGTCTTCGGTCTCATCCTCTTCCTGCTCATCATCATCATCTTCTTCTTCATCTTCATCCCCCGATTCTTCGTCTTCCGCTTCATCTTCTGTCACTTGGCAGTCTGCTGGAGCTTCCGTATGTAGATTCAAGCATATTTCTGGATCGTGGACGAGCAGAGCGCAGAGACCGTTAGAAAGCTCAATGTATCTGTACAGCCTCTTGTCGTTGGGAGACTTCTTCACTAGGTCGTCTGAAGACAGAGTGACACGCCCAACCGCCATGTTTCGTTCTAGCCAATGGAGTGGAGCAAATCGTGACGGAGATATACCCTGGCTCTCTTCAGGTCGTCGTCGTCTAACTCGTCTTCAATCAATCTCTAGTCTAGTGTGATTGTAGGCCCAAACTATAACAAAAAAATATTGTTGGATACCAATGGTTTTGTTAAAAGAATTAGTTAAAATTTATCATTTTTAAAAATATATTTCGGAGTACCTTAAAGCATGTGAAAACTAATTTCGGGGGGACTTTTCGTCCATCCCACCGTCATATTTTTTTGTGTTGTATGTTATATTTTGATTTTCATCATCATCTTCTGAAGAATTGCAGTTAGATATCCCTAATTTTGTAGAAAGAACCTCTAGGTCCTATTTTTAAAAACAATACTCCTAGGTACCCTAGAATAATAAAAAATTTACTCTCGAGAGAATTTCTTTTTTTCCTTCTTCTTCTTATTTTATTATTATTATTATTATTATTATTATTATTATTATTATTATTATTATTATTATTATTATTACCACTATTATTATCATTATTGCTATTGTTATTATTATAAGTATTATTATTACTCCCTCCATCCTAAAACTTTTTTCTCACTTCCTCTTTTTTGGTATCCTAAAACTACCTTTCCACACAGGGTAAATTTCACAAATGGTACCTGAACTTTAGCTGGAATTTCGAAGTGGTACCTGAACTTCAAATCCTTTCACAAAAATCCCTGAACTTACACAATCCTTTCACTAATGAGCCATTAGCCCGTTTCTAGGTTAACTTCCGGTCATTAGGGCCAAATTCGAATTTTATATATTTTAAAATTTTCAATTTGACCCCATTTCTTCTTTTCTTTTCTTCCACGCCCCGCCGCCGCCGCCCGCCGGTCAAAGTCGCCGGAAAATGAACTTTTTCCGATTCCGGCGGGACCAATGTCATTCTCTTCGTCTTGAGACGAGGATCAATAATATCCAAACCATTTTGTCTAATTTGGCCTGTAACTTCTCGAATCTGAATTTTTCTACTCGAAAAAACCCTAAAATTCGAAATTGGATCCAAAATTGGGGGTTTTGCAAATCTTCATCAAATCTTGCAATTGAGGGGTCCTTGGAGGTCGCCCGGATGCCACGACCGCATTGG